CCACAAGCATAATTTTTCTATACCATTAGACAAATCAATTTGAAAAACACTATTTCCTAAATTGTCTACAATCATCACAGTTTCATACACACCATCACAAGGTAAAGCTTCAAAATAAAAAACACCATTTTTATAAGCAGAAATAGACTCATTCTCATCATTAAAAAAATATCTAAAACCTTGTTTAAATATAGTATGAAATGAAATGATATTTCGTGTCATCTCTGACGAGTAGCAATAATTTATTAAATCTAAACCTAACCCACCACTACACACTAAACTATAAACTCCAATCTTGGTGACAAGTGAAGATCGCTTATTCCCCATGATCAAATTCATCCTTCCATGCTCCACGCCCCCACTTCTTTTTAGTCCCTGTAAATAAGAATAAATGTGAAAACCATATCCTGTATCAAGGATCCAAGAACGAGAATATGATGAGTTATTAGATAAGATAGTGTAAATACTTGTCGAGGTTGGCTTCACTTTGCCATCCTTGATATCCTGCAAGTATTTTGGGCAGCTTCATTTCTAATGCCCTTTGTCATTGCAATAGAACCAAGTGACCTATTTGGGATCAGAAACAGGGGGAGCATCAGAACTGGATTTTCCTTTGGGTCCTGTGCTTGAAGACCCAGCTCGGGACTTTCCCTTCCAGTTTTTCTTAGGACGACCTTTCCTCTTCTTCCCTTTCCCTTGACTTATGGCCAAATATGAGAACTAGTAGGAGTGGAGGCAATACCTTTCCCCTTCATTCCTGCTTCAACTGTTTGCAGGAGGTTATGCAATTGTGACAAAGTAGTTTCATTGTTGTTCAAATGATAGGTCAATATGAACTGATCATAACAACTTGGCAGAGAGTTCAACAGTATGTCGATTGCCAACTCTTCATCAAAATTCACGTTGATCTTGATTAGCCTGTCCACATATCGTTGCATTCTCTGAACGTGGCTACTAACAGACTCACCCTCCTTCATCTTGCTAGCAATGATGGACTTTACCACCTCGTACTTTTCCTGATGAGCTCGCTTATGGTATTTCTCTGTAAGGTCCTTGTTCATCTCATACGGCCAGTAATCCTCATAGCGCCTTTGCAATTCTGGAGTCATTGTGGTCACCATGATGCACACAACTTTTGTGGCATCATTATAGTGTTTCTTGTAGGCGACCCTTTCATCAGGAGTGGCCTTCTCTTCGTTAATTTCATCCAATGGTTTTTCAAGGACATATTCCTTGTCCTCAAAACGAAAGGCCATTTTAATGTTGCACATCCAATTGTTGTAGTTGGTGTCATCCAATCGTTGTAGTTGGTGTCATCCAATTGAACCTTCGAGCAGATGTTCAACAGGGAGAATTTGTTGTTGTTGTTGTTGTTGTTGTTGTTAGAGGAGGAGGAACGAGAAACATCAGTTGGAGTAGAAATCTGAAAGAGAAGAAAGATAGTTTTAGTTAGATAAGAATAATCCTCAATATAACACCCAAAATGAAATATCAAGGCTAGGATCCAAGTAAATAATTCACAACTTAGAAAAGGGATTATGTAATCTAATTGTTAATTATATAAAGGTAGGTAAATGATGATTTACCAATTTCACCATAAAAAAACGAAATGTGAACGAATTTGGTTTTTAATGAGATTCCTAGATCTTTTTGAGATTCATTGATCTTTTCAATGAGATGTTTAATCTCGATTATGCTCTTCCATTTGTAACTTGGATACCGAGGATCACAAACAAGATGTGAATAACCATGCAAATTAGTTTGGTACTCTCGATGTCATTTATCATCTCACTTTAATGTGCCGGTTAGCCACACGTGCTTCATTAATCAATGATAATTTTCGAAACACCCACTGCCACTCTTTATTTTGTCCCTATTAGTGTGCCAGCTACCCACACGCGCTCCACTAACGACTTATAAAGTGCAATATGCAATTTCATGGGTTAGCATACAAGTTCACATTTTTCCTAAAGTAACTAAGATTGAGAATTTAAAAAAAATAAGTTTAGTTACTTTATAATTTATTATACTTATTAATGAGAATTAGTTTTTCCTATCAAACCCATTCGGCAAACGATTCTCCACCAATCAAGGAAGCGGTGGGTGAGAGTGGACACCTATTCAACTGTCATTTTATAGGCAGTTTTCTTATGCCCCCCTTATAGATCGGCTTCGTGAATGAGGTGTACTAGCGGTTCGACTGACTTGTCTTATACATATAGTAATATTAGACTTTTTAATGTTACATATAGTATAATGGTGTATTTTTAAAACTTTTCAAAAATACTAGGTTATATTTTAAATTTCAAAAATTAAGAAATTAATTTTTAATTTAAAATTAAACCAATCATGAATTCAAGATAAGGATATCAAATTACTTAGAAAAATATTCGGTTTTACATAACTAAAACATTATTTTTTGTAATTATCCTAATCAATGCATGAGATAAGCAATAAAACCGAATTTTATGGATCTAACAGTCCACCACGTCGTGGTCGAACAAAATCGTAAGTCACCACGTCGTGGTGGTGGAACAAAATGACGATTCTGTTTTGCTTCTCCTTGTTCAAGTTTAAAAATTGCAACAATTAAATAGAAAACAAAACCTACGCTCATACCACTAATGAGTATTATGCAAAACATATAATTTCCTATGTGTGCATGCAACCCTAATACTTAATCTATGTTTTCTCTAATTGAACATACAACTTTGAACAACAAATAAGAAACCCTACAACATCTAGCATATTTTCAAAAATTAACTAATTAGGGTTAGGAGAAATATACCTTGATTGTTATTGATATAACAAAGATTCTTGTGTTGTTGAAGCTTTGAGAGCAAGCACCACAAATGTCGTGCCTCTAGTGGTTCACACCCAACACTAGATAAGCCCAAATACAAGATTATCTTAAACCGGGTAATTATCCACCTTCCTGATTATCCATCAGGGATAATTCTAGAAACCCTAAGGCTCATAGAAAACCATCCAAGCCTTATGGAGGGTTCTACAATGCCTCTTGCTCAACTTCACTTCAGTCCCTGCACTTTTAATTAATTATTTTAATCCCAAAATTAATTCCAAATAAATTTTTATTAAATATTAATTAAATATTACTATTTCTAATTAATATATTACTCTCATAATATATTAACAAATTATTAATCAAATAATAAATCAACCTCTCTCTCCAAAAATCATCCTGTCAAGTTGCTAGGTTTGAGGGCAACCCAAAACAACTATAATACTATCAATTCAAGTATATACCAATTATATTTATGGGCTTAGACACATCCAACATATTCATGAATGTTAAATTTCTTGCCCCATAAATGAAACTAGTTTTAATAGCTTTGGTGACGGATTCCTTGCTCTTGCAAGTCAAATGACCAAAATACCCCCATAAAAGTTTGTATTATGGGGGTGTTTATTGAAAAAATTTCCCAAACGGAGGAACTTAGCTTTCCATCACTTTGGTGAGGGATTTCAATTTCATTCCTCTTGCATGTTGGAAAACCAAAATACACCTTAAACTTGTCAATTTTTAGGTAAGCTCTGTATTTATGGTTTAAAAATATTGGTTTCTTATTTTTGTTACTAAACATAATATCGATGGTTTAATAAAAGATTTGTATTTTGTTTTTGTGCATATAAATTCATGTCAATATGTATAAAATTTTCTATTCTAAAAAAGTGTTAAAAGATTTCGTGAACTGGTGATTTGAATATTTTTACAAGTATTTTTAATCAACACAATAAAAAGCAATAAAGGACAATTATGTCATTTCTCATCATATGGAGGCCTAAATTCAGGGTAGTAGGGTAGATATTAGACTAAAACTTAAATATTGATAGCATTCCTTTTCATCCAAAAGATCCTTTTGTTTAGGGGTATTTTACATATTATACTAACATTGACTCATGGTTTTTCAGATTGGTGAGTGTGTGGCTGTACTGTGGAGGCCAAAGTCTGAAACTATCATGTACCCATATTGCCCTCCACACATCTCAAAAAACCAAAGGTTAAAGAATCTTCAACTTAATTTTTAGAATTATCTTGGTTTCTTTTTCTCAAAATCAAATGATAAATGATACTTAATTTGAGAAAATGGAAGGAAAAAATAAGGGCAAATTTGTAAAAAAAACTTAGCAATTAATGGGAAAATTAAGTTGTTGTTTAATTTTTTCTATATGAAGTAAGAAAGAACTAGCACCATCGTCTAGTTATATTTTTGACATCATTTCTTGGAATAAATTACAGAAAATGGTTCCCGTGTTTTCTAAATTTTACCATGTTTAGACCAAATTTAAAACTTTTTTTTTCAATTTTGGTCCTTATTTCAAGGTCTCATACCACTTTTGGTTCCTGGGATCTTGAAATAAGTACTGAAAATGATACAAAACTTTGAAAAAGGACCAAAATTGCAAAAGATTTAGTTTTGGAGTAAACACGGTGAAATTCAGAAAGCACATGGACCATTACTCTAATTTATTCTCTTTTTTTCGCTCACTTTATTACATTTTTTTAATTTTTAGGAATGCAAGAAACTTTATGTGGTACACTTGTCAGTAAGAGAGTACTTTGAAGTGCCAAAAAATGTCAAACTTCTTGTTGTTTGTTATAGATCCGAAATATGGTCCGGTGTACAGAAAACGGGCCAAGGGATAAGGATCAGTTTGTTTTTTAAATTCATGCTATTAGATAAGTAGTCTGGAGTCTTTTAAATTATTAGAGTTATCTAGTTAGTTATTCTTATCAATTGTTGGTGCTGGAGTCATTTAAGGATCTTTACCTATTTATAGGGTTGTTTTTATTAATAAACTTATGCATGAATTTATTAGTAATTTAAGAGTTCTCAATCGTATTCTTAGTTTAGCTTAGCCTCCGATCCTGGAGGTTAGGCTTCTTGGTGTTCACGGCTGAAGGTGGTCAATACACAGGTCCACTCACAAGATCGAGATCCCGGGCTGTAACAAGTTTGGTATCAGAGCCGCTTGTGATGGCATCGACGAAGGAAGTGATGAAAAAACTAGAAGAGTTCATGATTCAACAAACCCAAAGCACAAGCGATTTGAAGGGGGCGATTGTTGCCTTGCAAGCTAAGCAGTCTGCGCTGGAGGAAAGCATCGTGTCGCAATCTCGCAACAAAAAACATGTATCAGAAGCAGATGGGGACGAGGGAACAGATGGGGATAACCGGTTTGAGGATTCCCATGAGCTAAGCCTAAGAAGAGGGAAGGGGATCATACAAGGCGGAACACAAACCAGCAAAGGGACGGGGTTTCACACCCCCGGACCGGAACGGCGGAAACGTCCGGAGGCGGGTGACGTCATTGTGCAGTATCATAACAATTGTATATAAATTAAAACATAGCAAACCCATGCATCATACATCAATATAACAAGCTTACATTGTTTTACATCATGCTCATGTTCTCAAATTTTACACAAAAGAGACATCAGTAAGCAAATCCAAAATATAGCAAAATAATATTGAGTCTGCGATCCACAACCTGCTTATTGGATTCCTGAGAATACAAGTTGTTAAAAAGCGTCAACATGAAATATGTAGGTGAGTTCATAAGCATTTTTGTATAAAAAGTTTGATGATAGTTTAGAAATCCAGAAAATCCAGTATTTTCTTATTAAATAGTTGTATGTCTTGTTTCAACTCGAGTATAGCTGCATGTGTGTCTTAGTTAGTCGTTTTCGAAAATCGTATATAATTGTTTCCTCCAGAAAATCGTATATTTTCTGATGTATAAAATAGTAGCTTTGAAAACCATAACACTTGTATAGAAAGGTTTCATTTGAACAAACCAAAGCATAGTTGTTTGTAAACAAAAAAATGAAATCTGTATAATTACATTTCTGATATATTCTAGTGACTCGTTATCACCATACTAATATGACGGAGTGCCCGTTATGACGTTCTTCAGGTGTCGGTTTCGTTTAAGACATTTGTCACCCTAGACTGGCCGGTCTAGCTGTAGCGAACATCGAAGGTGCGGGGTGTCAACCCAGTATAGATCTATACACAAATTCCCGCTCCCCCTCCAGGAGACTTTGGTTATAACTCTTACAGGACTTTAGGCGTACACTATTAAATAATAAATGTACTGTGAAGATTTGTCTGACTAGAATACTAACCGACTTTTGAGCAAATTGTGAAAACCATTATTTACTAGATAGATAATAATAGCCGTACTCGTTAACTAGATATTTCGTTTCATTTGTTGAAAATAAACCGCTTTAAATATTTATCAAATCGAACCAATGTTAGCGAAATCGACAAAATGACTCTTTTCTTTATAAATTACTAAGTGGGACCCCATTTGTCGGAAGATGTCAAGTTATGGTTTGTGTAAAACTATGACTTCTGTGAATTTATGACAGCAGCTCTATGACATGCAAATTTTTCTGTCATAAGGCTTTATATATATATTTCCTTCGTGAAATTGTTCATTTCAAATATTTGTAAATAATTACCAATAGTTTGCAAAAAGTCATTAATATGACCTTAAGTTCCAAATTTCGAAAGTTTCTAGACACAGTGTCATCATATCAAGATATATTTCAACAACTTTTAATTTTTAGACAAAGAGCCATGGATCAAGGGAGTATGTTGGACATACTCAAAAACTTGGGAGGCTCCTTTTGTAAATAATATTCTTCATATGATGATTAAAATATTATTCATCTTCATGCGTTTTGTGAATCCTCACGTTCACATAGGGTTAAAATAATATAATAATATTTAAGACACACATACCAAACATACGTATACATGCAATTATTCAAGAATTTAGAACAAGAGATGACTTGTACTCTCCCCCAAAAACAAATAAAAAAAAACTTAGGAAAAGTGGGGTATGAAACTCACCTTGGTTATCTTTGCTGGTGATTTGAAGGGTGATGAGGAAGTTTCCAAGCTCCAAAACTTGGAAGATTCTTTAAACTTTAGGGGATTCTAAGAATAATTTTTGTGTGTAAATATAGTGAAATCTTTAGAATAATGGGAAGAATAATTGTTTAAAGAGGATAAAATACTCACCAAAGAAATCTAGGATTTTCCCTTGAATGGATGAACTTGAAGCTTGAAAGTGTTGAGAGTGTTCTTGGGAGTTTGCTAAATGTGAATGAGAGAAGTGGGACTTGGAGAGG